TAAAAGAGGTTTTTAATCTCAGTGGATCTTTCCTGGTTAAATGCATTGATGTATAGTGTAATGTATAATACATGAGTGTTGCCTTAATGAGAGCAACACACTGACGGTCAGAACCATTATTACTTTATAGAGACTGTGACTCTCACAGTGATGCATATATTCTACATACACAAGCCTGTGTGTGTGTGTGTGTGTGTGTGTGTGTGTGTGTGTGTGTGGCGCCCCCTGCTGTCCTGGTTCCTCCTCAGAGTCAGTGTTGCCTTCATGAGCCATCGGAAATATGACTTCTTCAGGGTCAAGCTGACAGGAAAAGCATCGTTTGGACGGTTTCCTTCAAACATCACTGACTTCTGTAAACTCTGGCGGTATTTTTGTTCGGTTTGTTGGTGAAACAAGACAACAGCAGCCGATTAAACTCCCATTCACATTCCCTCTGTATAATTACAGCTCGTGATGTTTTAATGCCCTCCTGCTGGGTAAAGTCAAGTTTTCCGAGCAGCACCTGAACGCAGCAGGCTGTTTCCCTCCTCCTCCTCTTCATCCTCCTCTTCATCCTCCTGCTCCTCCTCCTCCAGCCGAAGCGGACCGGACCAGGAGGTGGCTGCTGGATGCTGGATGTCCCGGCGGTGCTCGGAGCTGCAGGCGGCCGTGAAGCGACCTCGGAGCGGCGCAGTGCTGCAGTGTGATGCGGCGGTGTGACGGAGCATCCTCCGGCCAGGATGGGCAACAAGCAGACAACCTTCACCGACGAGCAGCTGGAGGCGTTTCAGGTGAGTCCAGTCCGAGTCCAGCCGAGGACAGCAGGCAGGCTTCAGCAACGTCCTTTAGAGGAGGCAGATGATCATTTATCAGCAGATAACAGAACCCAGAACCCAGAACAACAGGACAGACACCAGGGCAGGACGGAGCAGGTGTGTCCGCAGCTGATTGGCTGAGCTCCAGCCTCCTCCGCATCCTGCTGCTGATGCTGAGCGATGAGCTGAAAGCAGATCCTCCCAGAGGGTCAGCAGCTCTGCTTCTGTTTACCTCAGCGTGTTTGTTTGTTTGTTTGTTTGTTTACAGGACTGCACCTTCTTCACCCGGAAGGAGATCCTGCGGTGAGTTTGATCAGCCGTCAGGTCCGATGCAGCTTCATGTGTTCATCCAGTCATCACGAAGCTGCATCAGAACACAAACACACAAACATGTTACTGACATGTTAGAGTTCATTTCAGGGACATTCATGAAACATCTACAGCATGAAGGCAGCACTGATCCAGGTTCTCCAGGTCCCTCCTCTGCACCTCCACAGCTTCACTCTGACCTGTGACCTCTCAGCAGCATCATGGAAACAAACATTTTAAAAGTTACAACCCTGAAAATGAACCAATACTTGACAGTTCTGACCAGAACTGATGGTGGTTAAAGATGTTCCCATCAAACATGAATATATTGGATATTTATGTCTTTAAGGTCCTAACGGTAAGACTTAATCTGCACCAAAGCTAACGATGCTTCAGAATCCCGGATGGTTCTAATACCGGACAGACCTCCGCCTGTGATGATGAAACATGTTCCACTGAAAAGGAAAAGTTCTGGAGATGATATCAACAAACCGGCGTCCTGAAGACGATCCAACATGTCAGCTGTGATCAGGATGATGTTGGTTGAAGAAATCAGACTCAGTGAAAGTAGAAAGCTACGACTAGATCGAAGACATTTTTGTCTTCTGCCTCCAATACTGTGGTTGTGTTTCTACATGTGTGGTTCTGAGTGTGTTCTGCAGTAGAACCCAGAGCTGCAGTTAACCTGAGTTCTGTGCTCCAGGTTACATGGTCGATATCGTGAACTGGCTCCACATCTGGTTCCGCTGGACTACACCAACAACCCCGACATCAGAGTGCCGCTGACGCTCATCGTCACCATGCCGGAGCTGAAGGTAACTACGGCGTCCACACAGGGACAGAACAGCTCCACGGCCGCAAGGCCTCACCTCCACGGCCGCAAGGCCTCACCTCCACGGCCGCAAGGCCTCACCTCCACGGCCGCAAGGCCTCACCTCCACGGCCTTCTGTTTCTGCTGCAGGAGAACCCGTTCAGGGACCGGATTGTGGAGACGTTTTCCGAGGACGGACAGGGGAACCTCAGCTTCAATGACTTCGTCGACATGTTTTCTGCTCTCTGTGAAACTTCACCACGAGAGCTCAAGACCATCTACGCCTTCAAGATCTACGGTGAGGAGAACTCAGGTTTACAGCTCAGGTTTAGAGCTCAGGTTTAGAACTCAGGTTTACAGCTCAGGTTTACAGCTCAGGTTTAGAACTCAGGTTTAGAGCTCAGGTTTAGTAGTAACATGGACAAAAAAAATCTAATTTAAATTATTCATAATAACAATAACAAACTAATGTAATTTATAAAATGTCTTAAAAACAAACTGAAACATACAAAGACCTGTAAAATAAAATAATAAAACATTCAGAAAAGAACATTTCTCAAAAAAGTTCAGAAAATGTTTAAAAATGTAATAAAACATTTTAAAAATGTAATAAAACATTTTAAAAATAGTAACAATAAAACATTTGAGAAATGTCCACAAATAATAACAATATGTCTGAAAACTATTAACCATTATTATCATTTCCCAAGAAATGGTAATACAGTGAAAATATGAATAGAATGTGTTTTTAAAATGTCTTTTTATTTACATGAAAAAATAAATGTGCAAAATATTAACACAGTGTCTCCAAATATTATAAAACATCTAGAAAATAGTCATACAAAAATCTGAGTTTAATAGCCACTAAATGATAATAATCCTGAAATATCTGTAATAAAATATGAATTCACTTCTAGAAATAATGAATAAAATATCCACAAGATATTCATAAAATGTAATCATTGCAGAACACAATACAAATGTCCTTTCAGGCGACCACCAGAACATATGAATAGAACATGTTTATTGAGACGAGGACGTCAGACGGACGCTAACCGGCCGTGTGTGCTTCAGACTTCAACAGGGACAACTTCATCTGTAAGGACGACCTGCAGAAAACCCTGAACAAGCTGACGGAGGGCGAGCTGACGGAGGACGAGGTCACGCTGGTGTGTGATAAAGCCATCGAGGAGGCCGACCTGGACGGAGACAGTAAACTGTCCTTCGCCGACTTCGAGAACATGATCTCCAAAGCTCCTGACTTCCTCAGGTACCCGCTGCTCCACCAAGAGCCCCCGTTTATGCTCAGTGCTGTCAGGCAAACAGTCCGAGGCTGACTCCTGCAGGCTCGGTCTCCTCGTCTCCTTCTGGTCGTAGATGTCATTTACATCCTGTTACCAGTTTGTCTAAAACTGGAGGTGAACGAATGTAAAAATGTTCTTTTGTAGTGGAAACTGCAGCAAACTGCTGAGTCATGCTACTGACGTCGGTCTGCACACACTCCAGTATCTCAGCTGCTTGTCTTCGTGCTGCTCTACAACAGGATGAATCCGAGGCAGCAGTTCATGAACAAACTGAACTGACAGAAACTCAATGAGCTTCATCTGTGGGTCCATTTTTAAATCTGAACCTTTTCCCGCTGCAGCTCCTGGATGTGTTTCTGTTCCGCTGACGTCTGAAAAACGGTCACAGAATCAGAACCATCTGGATTAAAATCTCCCAGCGACTGAATGCTGAGAGATGTTTAACTTTGCAGGTTGTGCTTCTGTTTGTGCTGTCAGACCAAGAGATGGGTTCTGTGGAAGTCACATGGTCCCAGATGGTTCCTAGTTTCCTGCAGTGCGTCACACAGCTGCTGTTTTATGCCTTTAAAAGTCAGCAAACCTGACTTTGAGTAATTCTGGACACATTTCAAGTCATTTCAAATAATTTAATTGTCATTTTGTTTAATTTAAATTTAGTTGTTTCATCATTTTGTGCACGTTTGCATCATTCTGGGCATTTCTACCTCCTTGTGGACAGGTTTCCAGTCATTGTGGACATGTGCTGCCAGAGGGGGCGTCCAGCGCCAGCAGGACCACAGAGACCTGAAACACTTCAGGGCTTTAGAGCAGATTCTTGCTTTCAGTCGTGCGTGTTGGACAAAAGGCCAGGACGCTCACAAAGTCCATCCAAACTTAGCTCTCCTCTCCTCGTCAGCTCTTCACCTGCTGGACCTCCTGGTCTGAGACGTTTTCTTCTGTTTCTTCTCTACGTCACCATGTGACCTGTTAGCATCATGTTAGTATCACTGCTGCTAACAGCTAGTTTGTGCTCAGACAGAATCATCAGCTGCCTTCAGTCACAGTATTTCCTCAGTAGAGCTGCTTCTCTCTGAACTCAGAGGTCTGAGGTTACTGACCAACGTTACCTGGCTGTGGTCGACCAATCAGACCGGGCTTTTCAGAGACAGGAGCTACAGCAGAGTGTTTCAGACAGAAGAGGAGCTGCAGTGATGGACAGTCTGAGGATAACAGTGTGTTTCTGAACATTAAAGCAGGTAAACATGTTCTAGTAGAACCCAAGGATGAAATGATCCATCACTAAATGGGCAGAATATGAACTCTTAAGGAGTTCAAACCACTTTCTGGGGCATCCTGGCAGCTCAGCAGGTAGAGCAGGCGACCCATGAACAGGCTGAAGTCCCCGACACGGCGCCGTGGGTCCGACTCTGACCCTTCTGCTGCCCATTTCCTTCCAACACTCGTCTCCCTGCTTTCCTGTCTCTGTCTCCACTGACCTGCTGAACAAAGGCCAAACACATCTGGATCACAGCTGTCCTCCTCCACTAAAACACGTAAGAAGTTCTGACAGGACTGAAGCTCAGACTCTCCTCTCGGACCGCACCAGGTTCTGCAGCTTCCAGGTCACTCTGAGCTGCAAACTGGAGGAACTCAGGACAGAAATCTGATGTTAGAGCTGCATCCTCAGAGTCCAGCACAGAAGTAGCAGAATAAATAGGTTCTGTTTGGGTCCGAGTGAGGAAGTTTTGTCCTGAACAGAAAGTTTGATTACAGACCTGCACTCACTAACCGTCCGTCTGTCTGTCTGCAGTAACTTCCACATCAGGATATGAGGCCTCCCAGCTGAGATCCTGCAGAGCACAGATGTCTCACTCCTCCCTGTTTCCACCTGAACCTCAGACCACCTCGACTCAGTGCCTGTCCTTTCCACCGCCGGCGGAGAGTCTTCTTCTTCTTCCTGCAGAGCTGAGAGCTGGACAGGTGGACGGTGTCATGGAGGACGACGTCTCCGAGGACGACTCAGAACAGGGCTTTAGGACTTCAGTGCTTTGAAACATGGATTCCTGTGAAAGCACACCTCTAAAGGGCAAACAGAGAAGAGCTATGCAATCTTTGTTCCTGCATGTTGTGAGCTGCTTCTAGCTGGTGAGTTTGTACCTCTGGTTTAGTGAAGCGTTCTGGTGCATAATGACAATCATAGTAAACTGTAGCTCAGTTGATGGAAGGGCTCTGTCATCTCACCTGTCAGCCGGCTTTGATAAACCAATAACTTCAAGACAAAATGTTTTCTGGCTAGAATCAAATAAAATGTTTTTCTGTCGCTCGATTCTCCACGAAGCTTATTTCAAAGGGAACTGATGCAGCTTGAAGCTGCTGAAAGATGCAGATCTAGATGTTAGATGGGGTCATGAAGCACCAACAGTTTTGTCCAGACACACTGAGAACCTGAAGACGTGCTGATGTTTATCTGGACCAGATCGGACCTGGTACCGACAGATAAATGTTAGAAAAATAGGTCGAGCTGGTTCAATCACAGAAGAGTATTAAAAAGTCAAAAAACAGAACTCTATAAAAATGATCATGATATGAGGCGTGTAGAAGAGATGCTGGATCCTGGTGGACACAGCAGACCAGCTGCAGTACCTGGTTGTTCCACCAGGTGGAGCCTCTTCCTGTTTAGTCCTGTAGAGACCAGAGGAGGCGTCTACAGACTACAGCTCCTGGTGGCAGCAGAGAGCATTGTGGGAGTTTAGCAGCAACGGGACCATGACAGAGACTCTGAGGAGGTTCAGGACCTCCAAGCAGAGCTCTGGATTTCAGGACAACCTGGATCAACAGAGTCCCAACGTCACTGTGGGTTGTTTGGGTTAGAATGAAACATCCATCCATCATCTC